AGTAGTAGTAGTAGTAGTAGTAGCAGCATCAGCATCATCATCATCATCATCATCATCATCATCGTCATCGTCATCGTCATCATCATCATCATCATCATCATCATCATCATCATCATTTATTAATCATCTGCTTTCTCCCTCTCCACTAGATGCCGGCAGCTGCCCCCATGTCTCCAGAACCCCCGCCTGTCCCGCCTACGACATGGAACGTCAAAAACTCGTGTACTTCGCCCACTCCAGGACTTCCCGGGTTCTGACGCCCACAGTGGTCCGCCGGCGAGGCTGGGTCTCCTCCACCTCTCTGGGTGACGCCCTCGGCGACGCCCCTGGACACGCCCCCTTGGCCTCCATAGAGCCAGACATCATCGGCGGTGCCAAAAGAGGGTCTCTCGTGCCCGCACACCGCTCTAGGAAAGTCGGGGATTCATCTTGGAACAAAATCCGGAAACCCGCCTCCGAGGGTAATGTGTGCGATGTAGATGACGAGTGTCCAGATTCTGATATAATGCCTGTGGATATCTCTTACGGGAGCCGGCACAGGGGTTCATCCTCGAGTCGGGTGAACCACAGGGTTGTGCAGAGGGGACAGAAGTCTTCTGACGACCTCAGTTCCAGCTTTCCGGATGATTGTGATTTCATTGAAGATTTTGAGCCCGGATTAAGTCGCAACAGGACTATGCGCCATAATAGTGTATCCGGATTTTCGGATTTTCATAAACAGCGTTTGTCCAACAGCTCAAAGTGGGGAAACTCTTCTCAACGCCTCGCCCGCGGTCCGAGTCTGACAATGCCTGCCGATTTTCTGAGCACTGGTCAGTTCCGTGAAGGAAACTCTGTGTCTTCTTCAACTTTGGTTTTACCGCGAAGGACCATAACCCATTCGCCCAAAACGGCGAAGAGTGTTCAGAATGTGGATGAACTAAACCAACCTCCTCAGACAAATGAAAAGTGGAAGCCGGGGAGGCGGTATGCGAGGTCAAAAGAATTTGAACTGAACAAAAGGTTGAACAAGTCTGCCGACGATTGTCTGGACATGATCCCAACGGTAAAAAGTAAAAGTGGCGGGTATATCAAACAGGTGGTAATTTCTGACTCGGAGCCATCACCCTCGGTGTCGTCTCTGGACAGGCGATCACGCCCCCTCAAAATCCCTGCTGTTGGCGATACTCACGGCACGGTGGCACCGGCGGATACAATTGGCAATGACACTCGTCTTTCAGATACAAGACCGTGCCCTCCTAGAAAAGAACATTGTTCAGGAGGTACAAGTTCTCAGAATTCGGACTCGTGTTCATTGAACCAGAGATCATCAGTGCGGCAACCAGATAACTCAACGGTGGTTGAAAAGCAACACCGAACATTACCAGAAATGCAAACACCGTTGTTAAACTCATCGGATGACGTTTTGCAAACGCTGCACACTCCCAGGAGCAGACGACCTTTGGTAAATAAATTAGATATTGATATTTTGGGATCGATGGAGTCGCTGCCGATTTCAGGTGGAAATTCATGTCCATCACCGTCTATTGACGCCTACAGTAATAAAAAATCTTCTCTTAGTGACGTTTCATTATTGCCCTCTCAACAGCATAAAAGCTCACCTGGCTCCTTATTAGAGCATTCAACTTCTGCTGTCAAAGAGAGCACACAACACTTACGAGTTCCACTTTCGAATGGAGAACAGATGAGTGATTTCGGAAAAGGAAAGGAAGATGGATCCGAAGAGTTCAGAACTCCCTTCAGAAATATAGTCTACGATCGAAGTGACCCAGGTTGTGGTCAAAGTGACGTCAGTGACCCCAGATGTGTTGGTGACACGGTAGAAGACGAGGAAACAGTTAGCGGAAAAGAAAACGTCTGTGAAGGTGAAGAAAGCTCCAACTTCAAACCTCGCTGGAAACGGAACTCGATGAGACTTGCCACGCAGGGCTACACGAGTATGTCAGACTTGACAAACTCTGTGGAACTTCTGAATCTAGTGTCTGAAAACGACAGACCCCAACATGGAAGTGTCGAGGACTCATGTTTTGAGGAGAGTACAGGGGATAATAGGAAGTATGATTTCGAACAGAGGAATATTTCGTCATCTGAGGAGTGCGTCACTCCTGTAGCTCCTTCCGTGACATTTACTTCACCTGTTGAAGAAAGGCGAGATGGGGCTTCTGTGCGAAATAGTTTAGTAGAGGTGGCAGAAAAACTTAGTGTCCCCCGGAGGGACAAAAGCAACTTGAATGGAAACCCTGTGAAAAGACAGTCGTTGAAGCTGGCAACGTCCAGTCTAAGCGATTTAACGTGCGAGGTAGTGGAGGAACATGAGGAGGAGGAGAATGAAGAGGAAGAGGAGAGGGGGGACCTGTCCAGGGATAGTGGAAACGACGCAATGACTGTAATCTCTAGTCGAATATCTGGTGAATACTCGTGTGAAAAAGAAAACGGCACGACGAGGGCTGAATCGGACAGTGTTTCGAGTGATAGCGGAGTGCTGGTTCACAACCTGTCCCATAGAAAGGGAAACACAGAGGAGAGTTCAATAGAGAGCCCGTCTGTGTTGAGAACACGCTTGACCCCTGGGCCTTCTCCGGGCCGTAGAAGTGACGCGTCGTCTTCACTGGCCTACAGCTCAGACAACAGCCCAGCATCCCTGAGATCTGGACAGTCGGTGAACACAAAGGACGAGGAAGAACGCACCAACAAGATCAAGAGGAATTCTCTCCGACTTGCAACCTCTAGTATCTCAGACCTAACGTGCAGTTTCGACGAAGTTGACTTTACCGATTTCTCGCCGATTTTTCATCAGGTTTTGAGCGGTGACATTGACAAAACATCTAGGTGGAGTGAGAACCATCGGGAACCTGTTCAAGTATACAATTCCCCGGAGCCACAGAGAAGAGACTCTCGAGGATCCAGCTTTTCCAGTGGTAAAAATTCTTCATTTGGAAGTTTTTACTCGTGTCAGAGCCTGGAGAGCTCTCGGTCTCCACTGTCATCCCCCACTAATGCTACAGGCAGACACAGTAACCCTCCTTTGAGCGCCTCACCCCCGCGGAAGTTCGGCAGTCCTAAAAAAGAGCGCGGGAAAAGCGGTGTTTGTGAGTGGAGTCGCTCTGTGGATGCTCTGTCTCTGATTTCTGACACTGACGAAAGCTTCATCACTGCCCGGGACACAGAGAGTGTAGCATCACGCTTTGGAAGTGACGTTCACAGGGATTTTTCACCACGATGCCAGCCCCTCCCCATCTCTCGACAGTCGCCCTACACCCGTCCAGCCCCCACGTTGCCAAAGACGGGAAGCAAAATGTCTGTCTCTGATAAACAGTTTGACAAATCCAGAACTATTTTCGGAAAACCGAGCTCTCCAAAACATTCCAAGAAAACGTCTCCTCCTATGCAGCACTACGGGAGTAAGTTTGAGGGCGGGTATTCTCTCGGGGGTCAACGCCGAGATTCGCCTGGAAAAGTTGTCAACTCAAAACGAGCGTGGAACGACGTACCACTTCATAGCAAGACTCCACTAATATCCAAGCAGCAAAGTCCTGACAAAAATAGTGTTCGTACTAAACACGACCTACTTACTTCTTATCGTGAGCGAGATAGACAGCAGCCTGTCGCTGGCAGAGAGGCGACCCCACCCACGCTCGATACACGGAGGTTGAATTATGGCCGGCAGTCACCGGAGAAAAGGTATCCTCGAAACACTTTCGACTACGCTCGAGAGCCTTCGGAATTCTCAGCAGACGAGGACTCGTTGAGCATGCAGTCGTCAATATACTCTCTAACCGACAGCGAGAACCAGTGGCCGGAAATGCCTCGCAGCCCTCCATCTTTGGGGAAACCAAAGCGTAAACAGTACGCGGGTTTCGACAGCCAACCGCTGCCCATAGACAGTTTCTTCAGCGACTCCTCCAGCGTGTATACCGGCGCTTCTTGCAGCTCGCGCGCTCCCAGTAGGTCAGCTGACCTCGAGAACTCCTACAGGGGCTCTGATTGGTCCATTGACGTTACTGGAAACATGAGATCTGCCACCAGCATGGTCTCGCCGTCCTGTCACGGAACGCTTTCGCAACAACAGCACCACGACACCGACAGCATCGCCTCCTCACGACACCGGGGCAACGGAAACAGATCAGACGTGGCTAGTATAGACTCGAGACAAGGCAGCAAAGCTTATCAAGACACAATGTCATCAACAGAAACGGTCGCAGACGACGAGGAGGTGAAAACTCCTGTTGAATTCGGCCAAGATATGCCTCGTTTTGACGCTTTCATTAACTCGAATCGATCCTCTCTTCTTGACGAAAACAACGGCAAGAACAACGACTTACCACAGTTGGCAGAGTCCACCCCTAAATCCACCCGATCTCGTTCCCAGTACGTCTGTGAGGAGAAAGTTTTCGATAATTCAGAAGCTGAGAAACTCTTCTCTTTATCTGGTGTTTCCAACTCTGTGGACAGCAAAAGCTACTCGGAGGACGGACAATTTCTTTTCCCACATGGATCCAAATGCTCAACACTTACTGGTGAGTCATAGCAGTCTTTTCTCTGTCTGGTTTGTTTGAAGAAAAGGGCAGAGAGTGAAAAAGGGAAGACAGTGGATGCGTGGGGGAGAAGGAGGCAACAAAAGGACGGGCATAACTCTCATGAAAACACCAACTAAAATGGACACTGCGTCTGGTACGCTCTTGACAGTGGCACAATATAATTTGAATCTACAAGCAATGTTCTTTAATTTGGGTTGTTTGGCAAGTTCTCAAGGCTTTTTCTGCTAACTTGACTCAGCCCTGTCGGAGATGGACGCTCAATTTGGGGTCACTCATATTAAATTATCCTGCCATGCTTTTTAAAGGGGTCCTTAAACCTGACACTATGGCTACTGTACAAAGTGAACGATTGATCACGAAAATAGGGAAACTCTGCCAAAAGTTTTTAAAACATTTGGAATGAGGAAGTATTACAGTTTTATGGGAAGGGCAGTTTAAATTAGACGAAGGTACAGTGTTTTCGAAGCTTTTTGCTTCCTGTTTTTTTTTTCTTTCACCCCTCATTTCTTAAGAAACGTGTGATATGAGTCAAATTAAAAGTAAAAGGTGATAATGATGAGATGACTTTTAAGCTTGATGTAGGAAAATCTAAATCTCGCTTTGGCACATGCACACGCCGGTTGAGATTTTTTAATGCTCCCACATGTTCACGCACATGCAGGCATACACCATCAGTGTCTGATGTGTAGTGGTTAGACATTTCTTTGTCACATGCAGGAAGAAACCCGAGTTCGGTTCTCGAGTGGGGAGAATATTTTAATGAGTATCTCGACCTTTCTGCTGGAATGTTGTATCCCTCTCAGCCTGGGTGTGGCCCTGACGGGCAGGATCGGAAGCCCGCCTTCTCCTACTCCTTCATGCATGCGCCCTTTCCATGCAGACATAGAATCTTTCCTCCGTAACGACTGCTTTGCTGCACTGGCCTATCGATTTTGTATTTATGGAAGCTAGGGCACTTTATACAAAATGTCAATGTTAGCAGTGGTTAAAGCTGGTGGTGATTGATGCTGATGTGGTGATAGTGATGATGAAGACTGAAACGATGAGAAAGAGGAAGAGGGGGAGGAAGCGGAAAGGGAGGAGAGGTTAATGGAGAGAGAAAAAAACATAGAAGAGGAGGAGGATGAGGAAGCGGGGCTGAGGGCTGAGAGGAGGATGGAGAAACAACTCGAGGGAGGGAAGAGGAAGACGAAACTTTCAACTTTTTTCTTGACTCATCATCATCATCATCATCATCATCATCATCATCATCATCATCATCATCATCATCATCATCATCATCATCATCATCATCATCACAATTCATGACACAAATAAAGGCAGCGTGGTGGAATCAGGGTCTCGTCAGTGTTTGGGCATGTAGAGTCATTTGTCTTTGTTCGGATAAAAAAAATATCCATTTATCTTGCATACAAGTCGAGATATTTGCATACAAGTCGAGATATCTGTTTTCAGAGATATTTGCGAAAGAAGGAGGTGGGGGTCACCTGTTTTCATAGATTAGTTATTTCCTTAGCTTAAGAGCTCGTGGTAACTTAAGATTTACATTCTTGTGCCTTTAATCAACGTTTTTCAGAAAAATCCACACAGAAATGGGTTCTTTAATGGGCATGAAAGGTGTTGAGCCAAAAAACAAATATTTGATAAAAATTCACAAACCTGCAAAAAAATGCAAGGTTCTTTACTTTGAATTTTTTGACGAGAGCCTGATTCCACCACGCTGCCTCACATTTATTAATTCGTAAGCGTAATAAACTAACATCTGACACCCATTAAGTAGGACACGGGACCACATAAAACACCGTCATTTTTATATCCCAACATTACCTTACAAAAAGAACACCCAAACAGAGGCACACATATTAACGACCACTATTCCATCCTCTCCCCTCCTCTCCCCTCCTCTCCCCCCTCCCCTCCCCCTTCCCCTCCCCTCCCCAGCATCGTCCTCAGTGACAGTCCCGCGCACCCAGCTCCTGCCCAAACACAAGTACTTCTCCTCCAAGGACATCATCGACCTTCTGCTCACACCAGACCGGACCGGAAGCGGAACCACGGCCTCTCTGACGTCACTAGAGAAACAAGCGCACAAAGTTTGCCGCGCTATTTTATGCTGCAACGATATGGAACAAGTGCTCCCTGGGAAGGCTTATCATTTATGAGGGGAAGATAGTGTGGGCGTGCGTGTGGGAATCCACGTTTGATGAGTGATGTTGTTTGTTTTTTTTGCTTTAGGTGTAAAATTGTCGTGTGTGGGTTTTTTGTGTGGATTTTTTTTTGGGGGGGAGGTGGGGGGGGGGGGGGGTTGTTGAACTCCTGCCACCAGGCAGACAAAGAAATCCGTCTAAGAGCGCAAAGAAACTTTTATACGCTTTCTGTGTTACTTTAATGTTAATAGTTTTCTTTTATGATTATTACTGTCCTTTGTTCTGTGAGTGCTCAGCAAATAAAAGTTGGCCAACAACACTGTTGATTTTTTTTTTTACATTTTGGTTTCCACCTTGAACATTTTAATGCTTGAGAAGCCGTGCGCAACAGAAACGTTAAACTATAATATTGTCTAATTGACTGTCTTAGAGTACTCAAAAGTACAGTCTACCCCTTCACTGCCTAGTTCGATACTGTTTGAAAATGTTCAGTTGAATTGTAGAGCATTTGTGGCATTGAGGGTGTTAACACTGTAAACAGAACGTGTCGTAGAACTCCAAAACGATTACGCAAGTCCGTATTGAAGCGAGCCGACTTACTAATGCCTGCCTTAGAGCCTTAAATTAAAGTCATAATTCCTTCAACGTTATCAGCTTTAATGACAGTTTATAGAAAAATAGATTTAAAAAATGTATGTTAATATAATATATAGAAGCGGATAAGAGTTAAGAAATAAAATACACCCCGTTTTACAAACAAAATGGCGTCATTTTGATAAAAGTGAGCGTGTGGCAGAAAGAAGAATAATGTAAGAAGATAATTTTAAAAGGATTTCTATAGTTAAGCGTTCCATCAATAAATGAAGGCATTTCATCAACAAGTTCCATTTTTCTTCCTGGAAGAATTCCCTCAATGCACGCAGCTGACGCCGAATAGTTCCAAAATCATCTAAATTGTGTCGATGGAGGTGTGTGAAACATTTTCAGTTTTACTTTAAACTACATTATTTATGCTTCAGAGTTGAATGCCTACCTGCCACGGTGCTGTTAAGTTCGAGATTTTTTTCCCTCCCCTTTTTCTGTCTGTCCAATTTCCTGTTTACTTTCAATGATAACGTTCAGACCTCCTGATATTAAACGTTGATAACCTCCGCCCCTTGAAGAGGTTTCTGACTCGTTTCTACAGATAGGCAGTCTCACCTTACATTACTAAAAAGCGGGCTCCCTAACTTAGGAACGTCAATCTGGACGTGGTTATATTATAAGTTAACTTCTGTTTGATGACAGATTCACTTGTGGAAATTACTTAATGTCATAGTCTGATTTGTTCTCATGTGTTTATACTCCTCCACTCTAACGTCATTCTCTGCGTTTCTGTTTCTTTGTATTCTCTCTCTGTCTCTGTCTCTGTCTCTGTCTCTCTCTCTGTCTCTGTCTCTCTCTCTGTCTCTCTGTCTCTCTGTCTCTCTCTCTCTCTCTCTCTCTCTCTCTCTCTCTCTCTCTCTCTCTCTCTCAGTTATGTCATACCTTTCCTCTCTTTTTCATATCGTGCTGTTCATTTGCACGTAGGTCTCCATCACTTTATCCCTCCTTCTCTCTCTGCCTCTGTCTCTACGTCTGCCTGTCTGTCTGTCTGTCTTTCTGTCTCTATTTCTCTCTATCCCACTCTCTCTCTCTCCTGCTCAATCTCTCTCAAGCGCGCTGTCTCTCTCTCAGTCTCTCTCTCTCTCTCTCTCTCTCTCTCTCTCTCTCTCTCTCTTTCTCTCTCTCTCCCAGTCTCTCTCTCAGACACGCTTGGATTTTTTTTACATAATCGTTGCCTTTTAACCTTGGCACAACGAGATAGAGAGAAAGAAAGAGAGAGGTACAGAGAGACAGAAATAGAGGCAGAGAAAAAAAGAGAAGGAGGGAGACACAGAAAGAAAGAAAAGGAGGGAGAGAGAGAAAGAAAGAAAGACAGAGAGAAAGAATGAATGAAAGAAAGAGAGAGAGATAGAGAGAGAGAGATAGAGAGAGGGAGATAGATAGATAGATAGAGAGAGAGAGAGAGAAAGAGAGAGAGAGAGAGAGAGAGAGAGAGAGAGAGAGAGAGAGAGAGAGAGAGAGAGAGAGAGATCTGTAGCATTCAGTTGGCTTAGACAGGGACACACCCTGTGGTCCTATCGTTACGGTACTGTATCATGCTGTATGTTTATCTGTGGCAGCGGCACTAGACTCGACACATGATCTCTGATCAGACACACACGTATCACAAACTACAAGGTTTTGTGCAATAACAAGTTGCTTCATGTTTACAATGTTCGTCAACGAACAGGGCTGTGCAGTCACATGTCTGCGAATATATTCAGTTCATTGATTTTTAAACTATCTTATTGTAGTTTGTACGTGCGTGTTGGTCTGTGTGCGTGCGGTTTATTGTTTTAAAAAAAATATATCTATTAAAAGTTTCAAAAGTTTCTTTAAAGTTTATTTTATATTTATTTTACTTTGTTTTTCTTTGTTGGGAGGGGGCTGGGCTTTTATAAGGGGTTATTTTCTGTTAATAGGAATTTAAATAAATTCCTCAAAATACTTTTTTTCCGAAAATTTTTAATAGGGTTATTCTTGAAACCCCATTTTTTGATAGCTGTTGGTCTGGGTAGAAAATTAATGCTGACAAACCAATTCTGTGATTTCTTATTTTCAGATTTTGATCAAATTTATTCATTTTGAATAATGTGCTCTTTTCTCGCTATTTACGTAAAGATTTTTGGTTCTGTAATTGTACTTCCCCGTCTAACTTTGCTCAGATCTCAGCCGCAGACTGGCTACATGTATAGAGATATATTATTCTGCTACTGTGTGGTTCTCGTTTCACACGACAGACTTTCAGGCACAATTGGTGACACGCCAGCTCCGAACAATGGTAACCGCGCCAGCATTTTTATTTTGCTCAATTTCATTACGAGTTTTATAACGAAATATAACTTTTAATTGTCGTCGTAGTGAATATAGATCTTTTTGTCAACGAAATACAAAAAAACAATACAAAAATACAAAAATTCAGCGTTAGAGTTTTATAGATAACAAAGAAAATTTAATAAAACCCAGCAAAAAAGCCCCCCACACACACACCCGTAAAACCTTGTGAATGAAATTAAATAGATAAAATGCGTACAATTTTTTAATGAAAAACAAAATTAAAAGAATAAAACATTGAAACAAAAACCCCAACACAACAAATTTTACAAACTTCCTTTACTTTTGTCGGACTTGGCGTGTGCCACGTTTTGTCCAGATGTCTGCACGTGTGCTGGTGTGTGCCACCATTAGTTGTACGCTGGTGTTCATATTTTCGTTATGGCTTATCTATATTATTATCATACCTTGTACAAAGTAACTGTATTATTTCAAACGAACTGGCTGTTACTTTTCGATGTTCTTGTTGATGTTGTTTATATTCATTGTATTGGCAATAATAACTATTATTATAATGAACGTGGACAAAAGTGTACGAGTTGTTATTTATGTAAAATTATGTTTTTGTGTGTGACTTGAAGTGTTTGTTGGTTATTTCTCAAGTACGCCAAAAGGGATGGAGCGCTTATGACGATACTGTATTGCATTTTTGTTCTTTATATATTTGCAAGTAGGTTGTGTGTATGAGAGAGAGAGAGAGAGAGAGAGAGAGAGAGAGAGAGAGAGAGAGAGAGAGAGAGAGAGAGAAAGAAAGAAAGAAAGAGAAAGAGAGGAACAGAGAGAGAAAGAGAGGGACAGACACACACACACACACACACACACACACACACACACACACACACACACACACACACAGAGAGAGAGAGAGAGAGAGAGAGAGAGAGAGAGAGAGAGAGAGAGAGAGAGAGAGAGAGAGAGAGAGAGGGGGGGAAGAGAGAGAGAAAGAGGCAGAGAAAGAGAAAGAGAGAGTTAGGGAGAGAGGCAGAGAGAGGGAGAGAGGCAGAGAGAGGGAGAGAGGCAGAGAGAGAGACAGACAGTCAGACAGACGGACAGACAGACAGACAGACAGACAGAGAGTGTGAGAAGGCGGGGGATGCAGATATACAGACAGATGCAGGGAAAAAGAGACAGGGAGAGGTACACAAAGAGACAAAGAGAGACCGAGATTATAATAAGGGAAGCAGAAATAGAAAAACAAAGGAATAGAGAGAGTTTTATTACTATTTTCATACAATCTGTACAGGGTAAAGGCTCTCTGAACGGTACGGTTTGAAGTGTTTGCTCGTTATGTTGCAAACAGGTCTATAGGGCAAAGGCCATATTGGCGATATTACCTCATTCCAGGATCTAGATCACTCGCTGACCCAATCACCCATTAAGTCACAGGAAGGCGCGAGGTGCCCTGCCCAGGTCGGCCGATGTTCAGCTGACTTCAATACACTCATGTCTCTGACGTCAGATACACCATCGGAGGGTGGTTGCCAATGGTGTATTCTACTTGTTTGTTCCTCTCCTTTCTTATGAGAGATATATCGTCCTTATCTCTCCGCTTTAATTAATATGTGTGTTGCATGTACTATTTAGTAACGCCTCTAACCGTCGGCACTTTTACGACCTATACTATTTCTTTGCCTTGTCTCAGATGTTTTTGTCTATCTGTCGTAATCTGTCCCTTCGCTTGGTGATTGTTATTGTGCTGATGGGCTTCTCTGTACTCAAACAAACAAACGTGGGTGGTTTGCGGATGCTCTGGTGTGGTTTGCTCCTTCTTTCCTATCAACGTCTATCGTCCTTATCTCTCCTCCTTTTTTGTGTTTGTTACTCTTTTGTAACACATCTACTCTTCGACACTTGTATGACCTAATTGTGTTGCAAGTGCCGTAAACACTTACTAAAACAAACAAATAAATAAACACATAAACAGGAAATACCTGAGACCATCGACTAGACAACGCCCAATTTATAATTCCAGTGATTGGTTGGTAGGTGCTCTATCAAACATCTACCGTCCTTATCTTTTCTCCTTCTTTCTTTACATGTAACTCTCTAGTAACACCTGATATTCGGCATTTATCTTTTTGTGTGCAAGTGTCGTAGAACTCATACAAAATCTCTCAAAGGAAAAAAGACTGGCGTTTGTGGTGTAGTGGTCATGCTGCTTGCCGTGGCCACCAAAAAGACAAGAGTACGATTGATGGACTGCTTTCGATGCTGGCAGGTTATGCCACCACATAGTCACCGACACATAAAGGTGGCAGCTTAATTTTCACAATCGAAAGCACATAATGTGTCGGAAAATGTGGAAAACGTGAATGAAACGTTCTAGCACGATAACAATCATTGGCCTCAAATA